GAAAAAGATGAAAAAATTTTCACCAAATAATTGACTACATTACTGTTATAAGTCATCGTATGTGCAAGTGATAAGCAAGGCTCTAATTACTCATTCCAAATTTTTTCTAAAAAGAGAGTCAGCCCCTTTTTCGAAGATAACGTTATTTAAAATCGGCAAAACCAACCGAAAAGTTCCTGAAATAATTTTACGCTACTAGCTAAAATTAAGCACAAACGGATGCTGCTTGTAATTTATAAGTATGGCAGGAAATTTGTTGCCTTTTTTCTAGTTAAAGAGAAGAGAAAATAAGGTTGTTTACATTGCAGTATAAAGTTTGTTCAACAAGCCCAAGAAGGAACAATTTTTAACAAGTGAAAAATGCATTATTTACATAAGTCTAAAGAAAAGGTTAACACTAGCGGTTTATGATATAAAATGGAACATTATCCAAACAACCTGCGTCATTACGTCTAACGACACCGCAGATTGCACACACCGTCAGATTTTGGAAAAGAAGCCTAAAAATACTTTAAATGTCTCAATTTTGAAGAAGCCATTCAATCCCACAAGCGAAATACAAATTTCTTCGAGCTACGTAAAAGCATAAGTTAATAGTTTTCCCTTCATTACCAGAAACGACAAAACGAAGACTGGAGACGTCAAATTTTGGTAAATTCCGTACAAAACTATCTCAACAAAAAATATGAAACAAGTTTTGAGCTAGACAAGAGTGTATCCACTTAGGTATGAAACGCCTTTCCCTTCCGTTAACTTTTTTATAGATTGAAAAAAGGCAGTGCAACTTTAGGTTAGCGTATTGCTTCACGTCTTTCCCTGGCATAGGTCAGAACTGGTAAATTATGCAAATCAAAGGATATGCCACCTGACAAATTTCTAGCCTACAGTGAATAGGTGATGCAAGATAGAAACTGTAGGGGATTATTTAGCTTAAACCGCATAAATATTCAATTCATTTATTTAGTAGGTTCACCATTCAAGCCTAAACTTGGTTCACCAAAAAACGCATTGATGACAAATTTTATTCTCCACCCTACTTGGTTGAGTACATTTCGAAGTAGACTTCATACAATGCAATTTTAAGTGGTCTTCGTTACAAGTGCGTCTCCTCAAGCTTCTTAAAACTTCTAATCATAAGTTGTACACCCAGTCAAAGCACTCCTACAGTTTAGAACTAAGAACACCAACCCATCCCCCCTCTAAAGGTGTTCCCCTCCAAAAAATTCCATTAATGGATCATTTAAGCATAGCAAAATGCGGGGAGCGCTGTCAAGTAGTTTGCCAGTTCCCTAATGTTACGCCCATGCTGAAATTTTTAGTCATTTTTGCTCTGCACATACATCCCACTTGTCTTGTAAATCGGTCCATTAGTGCCAAATCACTGACTGCGTGGATGCGAACAGGACTCTTAATGCCTCAATGGTTCGACTTGTCAATCTTAAAAATTATAAATTCAGAACAGTACAGTAGAACCATTTCTGGCACAGCTCTGTACCTTATTTGGGAATGCATCACACCAACCGTATTCCCTCACATCCAAAGCTCATTCAGGATAGCCTAACAGATTAATATCATTCGCTTTTCCTCTCCCCTCTCCAGCAAATTATTAATCAGTTGACAATTATAGAGGCGATAAGTATTTTTCTCATTGACATAGTAGTAAAATATAACGGGTGTCAAACATTTATGCTACTGCAACATTTCCACACTAAGAGCACTGTAAATGAGGTGCAAATTAAGTGTTTATAAATCAAATATCATTAAGGAGATAAAGGTTCTTAGGGTTCAGCCACCACAAAATTCTTTTGTCTTGTTGCCGTTCAGCGTATCTCGCGACGTACTTCAATCCGTAAATATGCAAAAACGCCAATTTGAGGTCTTACTTTTACCTGCATACAACGGGGAGCATGGAAACCAACACTGTTGCAAGACCGCCACATCCGTAAAGAAGGGCAGTGTATGCTTGAAATAGATTGTGAACGAATAATTGGGGTGAAATCAAAGGCATTTAACCACCTGGAAATGCCACCCTTATGTCGCATCTAACGGAGTTGATAGCACGATGGCACCCCGAATAATCCATTGAGGAATGGTCTAAAAGAAGCAGAAGGAGAAACCTCGACTGAGAAGAAATGTAGCAGCGAGAAAGGAGCAACGCGAATGTAGGAAATTAAATGACCACAATTTTTCCATCTTAGAAGTATTGAATTGATCCAATGTATTTATAACTTCCCGTAAATGACATTAAGAGGCATCCCACTTCTTAGAAAGTTATTAATTAGATTTCAAATTATCTCTACCATTTTAGAATAAATAAATAAAAGCAAATTTTTTAGTGGAACAGATCGAGGAAATGTTTTTTTTTTCCGTAAAATGTCAATCACTAGACAATTTGGTATGCATACACCAGTGATGCTGCATATCGCATAGTCAAGCAGATTGCCTAAAATGTCTAGTTCAGGCTTGGCTTACCACCTTAAATCCCCTTTCATTAGTATAAAAAGTAGAACAAAAAAAAAACATTGTTTGCTCCGTTGTGGGTTATATTACGGAGTGTCGTAGCTGTTTCATATGTCATTACCTAAATAGATTTTGTGATATTCTGTCGAAACGAATAGGGCAGAGATATTGTCAAGGCCTTTGTAAATGTCCCATTTTTAGTTGTCTAGCGGAGCGTACAGGTCAAGGAACTTTTTTAAGGAAGAGGAGATATGTTCGGTATTTACTGAAACACTTTACAATATGGCTTAAGGATTTTGTTGGAGATGCCGAACATTACTTTTACTTACTGGGTAAGTAGCACTGACCCATTTTGCCTTACAGGGTTATTTATAACATTATTGTCAGCTTGTGACAAGTATTGATTAAGTTGAATTAGATGACATGTGGCTAGCACGGGAAGAGTGTGGCATCTATGTTACCTGAGCGTTTGGCTGTGCCGACTGCGTAGTCGCCACCGTTTGGTTATTTGGAGGCTTGTATTACTCTAGTGGCGACATTTGCTTCCGAGCTTAAAAGGCGAATGAGGGCACTACACTTCTACGTGGAACTAGTTTGCGCAGCTCGTATAAGGGGGCATATCAAAGGCATATGTCACTCAAGCGCATATTGCATTATGGAAGGAACGATAGGAGAATTATTGGATGTTGCTGAAGGGAAACATATAAAGTTGTCCTCTCACTATTCATATCCTTCGCGCATTGTCAGTCATGGAAATTCCAAAATGGATAGGAGATTACGAAGGAGTATCATAGTGTCACTAAATAAGCGAATATTTGGCCATCATCAAAGCTTCCTTGTGCCTGGCTTTTTAGAAAGCACAAAGTGTTCACTTCCAGAAATCGAAGTGTTAGCAATTCAGGGGTGATGGGAGTGCGATTGGTAGCAGTAAATTTGACGATGAAGCATCTGTCCTTTTTGAAGAAAAAACTGTTTTGTACCTTCCTAGTTTTCTTTTCGAATTGATAGAGTGTCTGACCACTTCGTGTGTTACCGATGATAGAAATTATGGGGAAAGTGTCTTTAAAGTGAGGACCGCAACCCAAAGGAAGAGAGAGAGGAACCGAACAAGAAAGCTGGACTTGCACAGATCAGCATCTATCGTACTGGCTGCGCAGTTATCATGGTAGGAACGTCGAGCTCCTAAGTGTCTCCTTTTCGTGATGCAACGGGAAGGAATGTTCGCTGCATGCTTAAATATTCCATTTTTTGAATAAATCTGCAATCTGTCTTTTTAATCCAAGTATTTTTCATTTTCTCTTCAAAAAATCAGTTTTATTTTTAAATCCATTAAGAAAAAAATCAAATCCTCTACAGTACTAATTAACCACTTTTTCTTCGTTCCATATATTTAACATGCACTTGAACATAATTTGTCATCGGTTAGAGAGCGAGACGCCACTGAGTAGCATCGGCGGAAAGCTAAAAATAGCCTTAATCACCTACGCACTTCGTGTTTGAGGTGTTCGTACCTCACTGCTGCGTTTCTCTTTAGCTGGAAATTACTGGAGACCCCTTTGTCTACTTATGTGACAGCCATTCCCAATGGATTATTAGTGGCAACGCTTTTTTATATACTTTTATAAATGCAAAGTAAGGGTGGTGTTTTCACATGGCAATATTCTTTGTGTTTCGTCAGCATTTCTTCGCCGTAATCAATTTCGAGCATATATTAGCCTCATTCACAGATATGACGGTTGTGTCACAGTTTCAGGCTCTAGGCTTCTACTTGTGCATACGTTGACGCACGACCTCGATTTGATGTTTCGGCAGACTCACAAATCAAATTTTGCCATAAAGTATGTGGAACAGCGTCCAGACGAAAGAATTTTTCGGATTATTGAACCTCGTGAATCTCAAAACCCTATGATATTATAACCTATAACGGCGTTATTCAAGCTGCTTTTAACGCGGAATCCTTGAAGCAGACTGAACATTTGACACCCGTTATATTTTAAAACTTAGTTTTCCAATGAGATATATGTGTAATCTGGATAATTGTCTATTGATCAGTGATTCGTGGATGAGGGTTGCGGAAAAGCAAATGGTGAGGCTATTCCGAATGAGCTTTAAAAAAAACAGTTTCAGTGGCATTTAATGCCCCCAAGTGGTGTGTTGCAGTATCTATGCTACATCGTAGTGGTGTCGGAGCTGAGCCAAAAATGGTTTCACTGTCCTGCACCTAATATGCAATTGTCATGGTGGACTAGTCAAATCGCGAAGGCATCAAGAAGTTGTTAGCCAGGGAATCGTCTTAAATGGACTAAATTAAGCGATAAATGCGATGGATGTGCAAAGTAACACTAAAAAAGAATTCCGATGTAATCAGTATTCCGCGAGATATAAAGAAATGGGCGGAACACTCTACAGCGTTCTTCGCTGTCCGCTATGCTTAAGTGCTCCACTAATAGAACGTATAGAGAAGGAAGCAATTTCAGATGTTGCAATAAATCGTAATTTTGTAGGCCCTACTTTCTAAGGGTGTCTTGGCTGGGGGTAAGATTTTTGATCAGAAACTGAGGAGAGCTTGATGAGGTTCATTTGAAACGGACTCCATCTGAACTCACAGTGCATGAGGTATGTTTGGAAATGCCCTCAATGGAGTGGAATGGGGGGTAAAATGTGTTAGTCAGTGCGTTCATCTTAATAGACTAAATACAGACTTGAAAGACGAATTTGTTTTATAAATTTCGCATATTTACTTATACCCAAAAATCATTTGACATTCAATTTTATTTCATGTACGTCGGAGTGGAGCTAGCAGAAGGATATATTTTGCCATGCCATCTGCAGAAATTGCAAGAGTGAAATAAGTCGTTTATACCACAATGAAAATCTGTTTAGGTCACTCGCATCAATGCCTCTGAAAACTCATGCTTTTTTACTTTTACATGTTTCCAATGGAGAATAGTAAAATTATTTCTGAAATATAACTATTTTATGCTTTTTAGTGTAGATATGCTCCTTGATTTTAGTCAATATGGATTTAAAAGCGCCTTGTTGGATGTCCACACTAGCCTTAACACTTTTCTTTGCCTAATATCTGCTGATTTATTGTTTACCAAACCTGCCAGTGCAATCCGCGTTATGCACTACTTAATGAAGAATGAGTAGTGTGTCATGGCTCAAGTGGAGACTACTTAGTGTGATCTCATTCATCAAAAAGTATGCCTTAAAAGTTAGGTCATTTTCGTTCTCCTTGTTTTCAGACAGATTTGAAATATTGCTGCCCGTTCATTATCTGCCTAAATATTCGTAATTTTATAAAAGATGACCCCTTAAATTGCCATAGTTTTGGGTAAGGCTTGTAGAACTGCAGAGACATGTTCATCGTGATTGTTTCTATAAGCCACAGGATATCGATCCGCCAACTTTTATAATAAAATATACATTACTTCCCTTTAAAAGTCCCAAATCATAAAAGACTGCTCAAACAAATCGAATGCTGTCTGAGCTAATCAGGTTGGTGATCTTAATAACAATCAATCTTCTTGGAAAATTTGGAGATTATGTAAAGAGGCTTCAGATCCAAAACATACAATTTATTTTTGGTGACGGCGTGCCTTATCCAGGCAAGTGAAAAAACCTAGCATCAAGGTGGTCTTTCAGCCATGTTTAATATGGAAGGGGGTGTAGGACAAAAAAATCTACCCACACCTAAATTAAGCAGACAATTCGAAACACCGATAACCTCATGCGCTGTTAGGAAAACAGTGTTTGTACACCTACCGGCTGATTTTTGATGAGAATTGCCCTTTGTTATTCTGTACTGCAGTGTCCATTTATGTGAACGAATATATCATCGGCTATCCCCGAGCTATCTGCGTACTACTCGCTGCCTACCCCCAATGCAAGCGCCACCTTATCC